AAAGCTAGCCTTTAGTTGATCCTTTCCCATCTTTATCTTCAAGTCGGTAGATTTCAGTTCTCAGAGTTTTTTTGAACATCAGCATCTACAAGCCATGCATATGGTTAAGCAATGCACGAATCAGAGTCGACTCCAACTAATAAAGCCATTTATTCAGATTCAGCTCGAAATCACTCATTGTTCTCCTCAGTGCGAACCGGCATGCGAGCCTCAGTGCATGCTACAGTACCCAGCGACTTCAGTCAGTCAGGCGTGCAGGTAAAGTACATTCTGAATATAGCAGTAAATATAGTTGGTTTTGGACAAAATTGGCTGCCAATCTCATGAGTATCTGTAGGGTTACACTCGATCCATCCAGAATCTCATTTCGTCTCATTTTTTGCAGACCATCTATCCAGCGAGGCCGAACGACCAATCAACAGGACATTGCGCTCCAGCTTGTCAGCCCAGCTGTGACTCCTCATGCACTCAGAATTACCAGTTTGATATCGTAGTCCCACAAAACGATGACTGCATGATTCCTTGCAGTCAGAGTTGTCAGAGTAGCTGCGAGCAGCAGAACCATGCGAAATATGAGTGCCAGGTCGGTTACGAGGGTTTTCAATTACGTTCTTACAGATGTTAGAGTAAATCTACTCACACTTTGTACTCGGCAGGTCGTATGGCCGCAGTTCGGACGGGTGGGGGGGGGGGGGGGGGCATTATGCCCTTTCGTTTTTCCGGTTTGCAGAAGTCTCACTTCGCTGGAACCTGTGAACTTTTCTGAAGCAAGAGCAAGCTCATGAAGCCACCATGGTAAAACGCGTGAGCTGTTGTGCGCTCATGGAAAGGCTCTTCAGATGGACTCGCGATGTCGTTGGGAACCTAGCAGAAAGTGCAGAAAGGCGCCGACCCTCCCGTCGTCGCACTCCCGGCCGGTCGTATTGTGGCACTAAGGAGTGGGCATATTGGGGAACTTCGCATATACAGGGGGGCCAAAAAAAAGTCATTCCGGCCGAGTCACATATGAGCGAAGTTTTCGCAGCCCAGACAGAGGAAGTGGATATGAGTACCAGGGCGGAAGATACCCAAGATCTTCCTCTATAAGCAGGAGCCGGCTGCCGCCATTCACCTTCATGTACACCAAAATATGAAGTCATCTCCAGTCGCGGCCTGAGTGGAGAACGCCTTTGGAATTCACGTGGCCTCCAAACAGCTGCGGAACTTCTTGAATGGAATCACCCATGGATAGCTACCTGGAGACCAGTACTCTTGATCTGCAAGACCAAACATCGAGCAGCTCCGGCAACGTCGCTACGGTCCAGGACATCATCTTCACCCCATTCACCAAGGCGCGGGTTGATGGTGTGGACCGGCCGTACCTGGAATGGGAAGACCGATATTTTCTTTGTAGACCCCGACTGAAGGTGAGCGCTGGCTGGGTTACATCAAGTAACTCGAGAAGGATATCCTCCCTACATGTGGTCGCCCGTACCTTCTTGGAGACCTTGTGCTGCTACAGGTTTGGGTGCCACCACATGGAATCGAAGGGTTTTGGAAAAACTCCCGCCTACTTCGAATGGAAGGGCGTTTCGTACCTGATGAAGATGTAATATTAAAGTATGTCCCCTGACCTGAACCCACTCAATTACCTAGTTCGGGCGGAGCTCAACAGGGTGGTCTACAGTGGCGGAGAAATCAACGATCTCGCTCAACTCCGGTACCCACTCACTTTCGCGCGGCCAAATCTCTCGATGGCGCTCCTCCAGAAGGCTGTGGCGGAGTATCATTATAGTATTTAATGCGCTCTTTAATATGGTATAAAAATGTCCGATAAAAATTTAATAAAGTGTAACTTATAGCGCCTTGAAAGTCATGGGAGGCAAAATGACTCCGCCCCTGTATTTTACTGCATGAAAGGAAAATGTTACACGTGCACGCTAGGGGACCGTTAAAGCGTTTGGCACGATAAGATGTTTATACATGGTGATATGGATTTGTACAACGGCGTAACGTTCCGGCACTCGGAACCGGCTGTGCATAACCGTCCGGCTAGTGGTGTCCTGCGCCGCCTACGGCAGTCTCTGTCCGGAGGTGAATCACGGCCGCACACATTTTCACATGGTCTACCGGACTCGTTTCGACCATAGGGTCGAGCACTCGAGTCATTGGAGAACTGCCGGAATGCGCAGCATGAGCCCTACTCGAAAACAGCGAAATGAGGACCATCACGGAGGAACCTCGTGTTTGCGTCTTGGAGTCCGTTTTGAAGAGAAGATCTATTGAAGATTCAAATACCTCTTATTTAATGTAATTGAAAAATTAATTTTGATAAAAATTACCATCGAAACGGGCAACAAAACAATACGAGCATCTAGTATATAATAGTGAAGTGAAGAAGAATCATTAGCGGCGTTCGAAGCATAGGTGCGCTCTATACATGAGTGCGTCTTGACGCCAGAAAATATTGTACTTGAAGTTCCAGAGGCTTCTCCATTTGGAGGGGTCACGCAAATTAAGCGAGTACATTATGCAGAAATTCCAGTGCTGATGACTGGAGGCATACCTTCGTCAAACTTGGTGCTCAAAGGCAGTTGGCACGATAATTTGCTACTCGACTTGAAATGCTAGCAGGGCGCTGTATAATGAAAAGGCGAAAAAACGAAGTGAAACGGTCAAAAACCTGCGAAGTAAAGCCTTCGTTCTTAATGACTCGAAAAGCGATTTCGGACGAGTTTTCCGTAGGCATCTTGCCAATACCCGCTACGTAGATACGGCTGCACGTATGTACTCATATATCCATGCAGCACCGCAGCCGCTTCATATCAATCCCTTCGCTTCATATTTTACTTCGCAAATGAAGCAATACGAGCATCAGGTACGGTCGTCCATTTGTGGGCGGGGCGCGGTGGGCGTTCGGGTCGGTATGTTGTAGCTTGATAGGGCCTTATAAGGGTACTTCCTTGGGGAAAGGCGCTACGCAGCGCCTGCCCATCGCGGAATTCCGTCGATTAGAAACAAACAGAAAAGAATATTGGAAGAAGAAAACACTCCAAAACACAGATGGTCCGTTTCGCCTGTTATCCCCAGACGAACCATCATTGTCTCGCCAACCCCAGGCTCCTCAGTGGAGTAAGGTTGGCGAAACAAAGACACGGACTACATAGGGCGAAGAGTTGAGAAAAGGATAAAATGAGAGAAGTGAAAGAAAGGTGCACATGCAAAAACCATGCAATAAATATAAGGTTAAAGGAATAGATGGGATAGAATAAATAAAGGAAAGATATACGTAGTGTGCAAAAAACACGTGTATAAGAAAGAAAATTTGATGTACTTATAGGCTTCAACCGAGGCGGAATAATTCCCGTATAACTGAAAACTGAAACTGAAACGATTACAAAGGCTAAACAAAAAACAAATGGAAATAGAAAGAGAATTAGTGTGAACACCGCTGTCGATGAGAGAATACTTTTAACCAGCCTACTTATCTTTTTATAGTTATTTGCAATAGAGTATTTGTAACTTATAAATTTATTTTTGTAAATACATTTAACAATGCTAGTAATAATGAACTCTTCTTCGTAACCTTTCGATCCTAAAAAGTGTCGTGACCATAACCGTTATTTTGCTTACGAATATATCGAAAAAAAACGAACAGGGTGTTTGCTAACTTTAATTTTCTGTGTATATAACAGAAGCCTTATTGATAAGGGCAATATTTGTGTCATTTATATGCGGAAATCATGATTATAATTAAAACTAAATATCATCGTGTTATTATACAACTTTAGTACTAACGTTTACCATTTGTTATATGATTTGTTAATTCTAACCAAGTTAAGCTACAAGTATAGCTGGAAACTTCACTCATTTTTATGTATCTTTGCAATTGAAGCGGTATTTTATAAAGTTCAGCTAATTGCTCTCCACATACATAGCTATCAGTTTGGTTGTGAACAACAATGGTTTTTCAAAAGTCAGGCGTATTAATCCTACTCGTTTTAGGGGCTTATCGTGCCAACTGCCTTTAGAGTTTCAGCTTGCATATCGCATAATCCTGGGAAAATTGCACCCATTTCACAGCGCCGCTGATGGAATCATGCGTCAATGATGAGAATTCCTTCGCTTTCATCCTTTTCAGCTGTGCTTGTACTGGTGATCAGGGTGCTTGAACAGCGCCGGCGTTCATCTAGCCAGTCCATGAGGCGCGCTTTGAGTTACCCAGTGGGTCTCTGTCCTCCAAGGAAACGATATTATGTATACAACATCCAGAGGGAGTTCGCATAAACAAGACGGGTCATCATGGTGTAGATTTATCACCGGTGTGTTTTAGGTCCCTAACTACTCGCTTTTAGTAGTGAGTACGAAGCTAGAATCCATCGCAGCAATATACCTCGGAAAATGTTTCTACGTGGCCCTTGACGATCTCTCTTGAACAAATCCTTCCGTTGGTTTCATGTTTCTCAAAAAATGAAGAGTCTGCCTGGTTCCTGCTTCCAGCATTAGCCAGTTACGCCCCATTTCAATTGTGTTCACTCCCACGGATGCCTCCTGCTCGTCAGTGAGCAAACAGCGCTCTGACATGGTCACCAGTGTGCTGCAAAGCCTCTGTGACGCAATTCGGGGATTTTTCTCCGCTGAACTGCTTCAGCAGCTACAAAGAGCTTAAAACAGAAGCAAATTTCTTCTTTATCTCGTCAGCAGCTGCATATCCATCGATATCACAGAGGGCTTTTATAACATTACGCTGAAGGTGAGGTGTCTCTTCGGAAGCACCCAGAAAGGTCAAACAGTTTCCAAAAATTTTAATGTGCATCTCAAGAAAGCATCCCATCACTGATGCTATCTATTAATCCATTTGCGCCGAACTTATCTCTATCACCTTGGACACGGAGGCTCATGCCAAAGAAAAGAAGTTGATAGATTACATGAAAGGCTTCCTCGTTTTCAATGAACATCCCTTTAGAATGGGGGAGAGGAGCAAGAGAAATTCCACCAAGGCAGTCTTATCGCATGTTTGTTTGCTGTACAAAGAGAATGGTAATTAGACCGCATCAAATATTAGGTTGTCCCAGAAGTTCTGGGACACTTTCAAACATTTTTTCAATTCAAATTTATTTCATCAACAAGCAATATCAGTCAACAATATATGTACCATCTCCATCGACGACTTATTGCCAACGACTGTGCAGAGAGTGGATGCCTCTTTCCAGAAGCTCTCTCCGGTGCGAGCTGAAAAAGGAGGCTAAGGTCGGTTGAGTGCTCCTGAGAATCGTAATTTTTTCCAGCCAGATAGCTGCTGAGGGACCGAAAGAGGTGGTAATCGGAAGGGGCTAAGTCAGGGCTATAAGGTGGGTGGGGTAGGATTTCCCAGCCAAGCTTCAAGATCTCAAGCTGCGTCATTTTTGAAACGTGCGGCCTTGCGTTGTCGCGAAGGAGGTATATTTTGTTGAGCCGCGAAGCCATATTTTGGAGTTTTTCGGCCAGACTTCGTAGCTGGTTACAGTAAAGCTCACTGGTCACAGTAGCATTGGCGGGAAGAAGCTCCCAATGGTACACCCCATAAACGCCCCACCATACGCACAGCATGACCTTCTTCGCGGATTGGTCGGACTTCACAAACCGGTTCTGCTCTTTCTAGTGAATCTAGC